TTACATTTAGCACCCATAGCACCCATTTAGTCTTATTCTTCTACCTGGCAATTTCCCAGCTATAGCCAGGGTCTGCCTTACATGTTGTGAATAGTTTTGTCTAATTGTTTTTACGACCGGCCGCCTGCCTGACATCAACCCTCTTTGGGAATGCATTAATCAGTGATGTCTAAATACTATTTAGCACCCATAGTAAGTGTTTTTTTGTAGTTTAACGTATGAAATACGATGAAACTGACAGTATTTAGTTTGCCGATTATTCTTGTTTTGATACTTACAAATATGTTATTAGAATTTGTGAAGCAATAACAAAATGTGTTAAGCTATTGTTTGAAATGTCACGTAATATTGTTTGTTACTTATTAATGATAAAGTGCAGTCGAATTTCGTAAAAAAGCTAGTGATTTCAAAATAATATAACATTGATTTATTTTTCATTTTTTAGTTTATTTTACAAAAAAAATATTTGTTACAAGTACACAAAAATGATTTGTTCATGTGCCAATTTGGTAGTTGTGATTTAGTAATTTTTCCCTCCTATAATACATGCGTTTTTCATTGATATCTATAAAAAATAATTGTAGACTACGTCCAAAAACAAAGCAATTAAAAAATATAAATTTATATGCAAAATTATAATATATCATTACCGTCTTAACACAGGTCCACTCTTCTTTTTACATTAAACACTTCTACTTAAATGTAATTTAAATTTCGTTTTATTTTATAAAAAAATAATGGCAACACTATAAAATATTATCAACATATTACAAATGGCAACAAAATGCCATGTTAAACGTACATTATATTAAAATCTCCCCTCATCTTAGACACGTGGACTAGGGGACTATTTTTAGTTAATTTCAGTTGGATATATCCCTAAAATAACCCGGCAGATGTTTAACGTACACAAAAAAATACTCAAATTACAAACAGATAGACATCCCTGATTTAATATTACTAGTCACAATTGGTTTGTAAAAAGAATGACGAAGTTTCGTATCTTAGAGAGTAGGAAGAGTTATACTTTTAATTAGAGCCACTTTAATTAATCAATGTACTCTAGAGCTTAATTTGTATTATTTTCATTGTCTTCTTGTAAACCTCTACCTAATATATGTGTTATATATTTCATAAAAATATCTATATCTCAAATTTTTATATCAAAAAGTTAAAGTCAAAATTTAAGGCGTATTATTCATATGACTAAAATAATAAGAATTTCTTCTACAGTTACTGCATCAAACATTAATATTAGTGATAACTAAGTACAATTATTTAAATTTCAATCATGATTAACAACTAAACATTTAAATTTTAAATCATACCATTTTATCCATGACATATCGATCAAAGTCTTCTTACGATAAAAATGATTCATTTTACATTATTATTGTAACATTTACTCCATCATCCATGACAAATATTTACAATACACAATTGCTACAGTTACTATTATATATTTAAAGATTTTTTTTAATTATTTTATCTTAACACTAGTTTGGAAACGAAATATAGTCTAAATATTAATATTTTATTTAGATAAGGACGTTATACATAATGTATATATTGGTATATACATATTACCATACGCGAAGTCAGTAGTGGCCTAGTGGTTAATAGGCCCGCCTCTCATGCATGAGGGCGCGGGTTCGATCCTGGCAAGTACCAATGTGATTTTTCCGAGTCATATGTACTTTCTAAGAGTATTTAGACATCACTGATTAATGCATTCCCAAAGAGAGTTGATGTCAGGGAGGCGGCCGGTCGTAAAAACAATAAGCCAAAACTATTCACAACATGTAAGGCAGACCCTGGCTAAAGCTGGGAAATTGCTAGGTAGAAGAAGATACTTATTACCATAAGCATACAATAACCAAAACATTATATGAAAGGATGCTGTACATAGAGTGGATCAGGAAGCGCGCTCCACGAACATCAGATATTCATTACAATTAAAATTAATACGCTATTTCACAACCAACGCGATTCCATTGAAACATCGCGTTACGAAACGAACGGAACGAACAACGAAAGGAAACGTGAACGGATAAAGAGTTTTATATATGCTATTATTTTTGTATAATCAGTTAAATTAGGAAGTTGAATTCATTTCCTTATTTAATATTGTTGAGAATAAATAAGTTTAGAAACTATATTTATTATAATTCGGTTTTATAGTTAACTTTCCATTAACTTGTTTCGAACAATAATTGTTGAACATATCTTATAGTATACAAAAAAACCTACGTAAAAATCTATTGATTTGAAACTATTGAATTACAAACAAAACTGTTTTCACCTAAACTATGTATATATAATTTTGTACACCTTTGACGTGATTAAAGATATTCAATACATAATGTCTTCGCATTTCAATATATACAGGGTGACTGGTGAATTACTATCAATATTTAAGGAGCATACTCGGTACATGATTCTCATTCGATTATGAAAAAAAAAAAAATAGGTACTTAATTTTTGACCAAATTTCCGTATAAATAAATAAAGTGTGTACACGTTCCAAGTGTTCTAAGTGTGGACGCGTGCGGCGGCGTGCTGATACAATACCACGCCGTCGCACGCGTGTGTGTGTGTGTATACCTAATCTGTAGGATGTTCACACGATGCGTAATTAATTACATAACTTTTGGTTAACTTTACTTAGAAGTTTATTAATATTTATGTTATATTAATTTTTATTTCGTCATATATGATCGTCAAATATCACGTCCTCAAGTATCGATAGTAATTCACCAGTCACCCTGTATATATATGTTTCAAAAACTTCATGCAAAATCTTGCAATACCATAGACTCTAAAGAATACTCCATATGTTAGTCATACTGATCGCAGTTCTCGTATTTTTATACAAAGATAATTCTTTAGTACCGTCTTCATCAATCATACTTCTATATCCCTTATTTATACAATAACGGTGCTATATTATGTAAAATGAAGGCTCCACTTATGGCTAGTTACGCTCTGTCGCCGGAGCAAGACGCGCCCTCGACCGAAACGTGAATCTTAAACCTTTTCTAACTTATTGTTATAATTTTAATATTTCGTTATACATTATATATGTAGGTTAAACTTAAGTGCTAATATATGAACGGTATATATTTTTAGTTTCGTTTATTTAATCATTTAAACATAACAGATGTACATTTAAATGAAACTAATGGTATTCGGATATATTAGGCGTGCTTTGTTTTTGTAGAAATATACCACGCGTAGTATGTATATCCGAAAACTATTAGTTTCATTTAAATGAATGAAACTCGCGAAAGTCTTAGATCTCATAACAGGTAAATGTATATAATTCCTACGCGACAAATTATAGTAGCAATATGCTTAATACAAGTTTGCATCGCACTTTCTCATTCAATACTATATTGTGGCGAGATTTATGAATGAGAAAACTATTAACGTTGCGTTTATACTTCGTAGTGTGACTGCAAAACTAAGAGTAAGACTTCAACTGAATCGTAATACAGAATACTCCTTAATCTTATTTTAATATCTTTTTTCTTTTATGTTTAACACGAAATTGTAAACCAATAATTATATCTTGGTGTCGTGTTAAATATTTCAGCAAAATAAACATGTCAAAACGATGCCTTGTTTCACAAACAAACGATAAACCCTAAAAGGTAATTCCGGACACAACGTGTCAAAGGAAAGATTAAAAGATAATAATAAAATAATAAACATTCCTTTTATATCTTTTATTCCTTAAATATCAAACACGATCGAATATAAAATGAATTGGGAAGTATTAAACTCAAATAAAATCAAGCGGTGCTTGCTCTTGATGTGGCTGGACAAATAATTAATTGATTGAGATATATCTATATGATAATCTTCATATCAAAGTTTTAGTAGTATTTTTTTAAATAATAACGATAAGTTTCATTTCAATTAAACCGTGACAATTAATTCATGATAAAACAGATTTTTATTCTATAATTTTTGTTTAATTTCTGAACGAAATATAATTTACACGATAATGAAAATGTAAAACATTTAAGCAAAGTATTTCATTGACGTTGGCTATCTAACAAAACTTAAAATAAAAATCTCTCATATTTCATAAAACAAATAAAATGCATTTGTTACTGTAATTTGAGATTAGTAACATTAATTATTTTATATTTATTAGATTCGAATGATTGACATCAGAAATTCCTATTTAAAATCTTAATAAATTGAACAGACCTTGATTATTTTAAATAAATAAAGCAAAATATTTAAGTATTTAACTTCTAATTATGTCATAGAAAGGGAAAGTATTTTTTTAAAGGATTTGTTGAATCAGTAGTATCATTTTATTAGTACTTCGGGTGAAGTCTTGCTCTAAAACAGAATTTATTATTTTGAGCAGTTGTAATTAATCTGAATTTAAAAAAAAAACAAAATCATAAATTTGTAATTCGATTAATGCAACAACTATTATAACTAAATAATAGAAACTTCAAACATTTCTGTTGACTTAAATAAAACTAAGATTTTCCCGTGATCACGATTGCTGCAAAGTGACTTCGGGGTAATGTAGTTGTAAAAATATAAAAAACGCGTAAACCCGAAAGAAATATTCGACAACGTTAGTTTCATTTAAATGAGTATATGCGAATTCTTATTCTTTCTGGTAATTTCCCAGCTTTAGTTAGGGTCTGCCTTCCTACTTAAACTTCTCCACTTTGCACGGTCTTTGACATAAATAATATAAATGAGTATACACAAATATATTAGATACTAGCTGCGCCCCGCGGTATTACCCGCGATTTCCGGGATGTAAACTAGCCTATGTGTTTATCCTGGACGTCAGCTTAATGTATACAAAATTTTATCAAAATCGGTTCAGCCGTTTGAGCGTGAAGAAGTAACAAACATACACACTCACAAACTTTCACAATTATAATATTAGTAGGATTAATCTCTATTGACTATCATCATGTTATTGTTCGAAGATTGAATTCAATGTACTCGTATTATTTCAGGACCAAGTCTAGTTCAGTTCTCGGGGAGACAAAGGAGCCAGCCCCCGCCCCCTCCCCCGCTGACTCCGGAGTATCTGAGCTTGAGAGAGATCACCATGACTACAGGTAAATAACGTACTTTATTAACTATAATAATCTTTTGAGAAGTCGTGGTGGCCTAGTGGTTAAAGACCCGCCTCTCATGGGCGCGGTTTCGATCCTGGCTAGTACCAATGCGATTTTTCCTAGTCATATGTACTTTCTAAGAATATTTAGGCACCACTGATATCGGTTATTAATGCTCAAAATAAAATACTTTATTAACCATAATAATCTTTTGAGAAGTCGTGGTGGCATTGTGTTAAAAGGCCCGCCTCTCATACATGAGGGCGCGGGTTGGAAACCCGGGCAAGTACCAATGTAATTTTTCCGAGTCATATGTACTTTCTAAGAGTATTATTACCGATATCAGTTATTAATGCTCAAATCTTATCCATGTGAGAAGAGGCCTTTGCTCAGCAGTGGGCTCTGATAGGCTAATGATGAATAAGCCTTTGATAAATGACTAAATGTGGACTTAAAGTGTTTTTTATTAGGATTTCTATATATATATTTATAGTGTTCATTTAGGAAACATTAGCTACAAATTATATAGATAAGGCATATATGTAGCGTATTTTTATTTAGTTACACGTAATATACAAAAAATAATTTTTATGCCAAGAATTGAAGTCGAAAGTCGAAATTTGTTAGAAAAAAACTCAAATCTACAATACGTTATGTTGATGAGAAGACTTAATAGATGCAAACGAAGTAAAATATGCAACAATAAATGCGTTTCCTACATATACAATCTGGCAATATCGATTTATATCACAATATGATTTCTAAACAGATATTTTATCATAATCACTGTACCGTGTCGCATTAATTAGTGCAAAGGAAACGTGAAGTGGAAATAGGAAAGAAATAAGTTGCACCTATCATGCCTCTATGAGGTCACTAGACGTTTATTGCTGTAATTGAAATTTTCACCTTGAAAATATATGGTTTATTACACTGAATTGACTAAGGTTTAAGAATGCTTTGAATCCATATACATGTATGACTTGGCATTTTAAATATTTGAAAAATATATGAAGATATTACGGGCATTTTCATTTATACTTCGCTATTTATAGATTTATATTAAATATACATAGATGTATATAAAAGAAAGTTGTGTTAGTTACACTATTTATAACTCAAGAACGGCTGTAGGGATATGGTTGAAAAATGGTGAGGATTTAGCTTAGAACCAGGAGACCGACATAGGATGTTTAGTTCTGTTCGATAGAAAAATAACAAAAAAAAAAACAATAAATTTCAACATCTGGTTATTTACGGCCTCTGAGGCGGAATATTCAATATAGTTCGCTCGGTCAGCTGTACATATATAACTAATTCCGAAATTAACGCGGACGAAGTCACGAGCAAAAACAAGCATCATATAAACTTTTAACGTACATCTTTTATAATTCGAAAGCTTGTTTACATTTGTATTTCATTCTAAAGACTATTTTGAAAGCATAAAACTGTTACATTCCTTATTCCTTACTAATATTATAAATGCGAAAGTAACTCTGTCTGTCTGTTACTCTGTCACGCCTAAACCACTGGACTGATTTTAATGAAATTTGGTACAGACATAGAGATAACCTTAAGAAAGAATATAGGATAGTTTTTATTCAAGACTTTTGAAAGGTTCTCTTGGAAACGCGATATAAGCAAACTCCACGCGGGTGAAACCGCGGTCGGAAAGTTAGTATATATATATTTATGTATTTGTAAATATATTTCTAGTTCAACGGACCGTCTCCGCCACGATGTCCGTCGCCCGCGGCTGATGCTGCAGAGCTATCGTCGTGATGAGAGAGACGTGGAACTGGCCCGAGTGAAGAGAGACCGAGCTGTGTTGAGACAACGACTGGAAGACACAGAGTGGAGCCTGTGTCAGAGGGCTGGCGAGATCGCTTTGTTGAAGACACAGCTGAAAGAGGCTCAGGTGATATAGAAACTCCTTGCTGGGGTTTGAAACGAGAGCTGTCGTGAACTCTCTGTTCAAAAACTACTCTGTGTCTACTATGAACCTTCTTTTGTCTACGACGAAATTATTTGTAGAATGGATTTTTTTTTCTCTGGATTGTTTTAATTCAATTAGCTGTAAAAATTCTTGATCTGACAGATATAATATATTGAATTTGTTTACAGAATTGTTATTAGATATTTATATAATAATAATATTATTGTTTATTTTTTCAGAACGAACAAACAGCTAAAGGCCACGAATATCTAACACTGAAATCCGATTGCCGCCAACTAAGAGAGGCTTTGGATAAAAAGGACAAAGAGATATTGAGGCTACGAGCGGAATCTGAGGAAAAGGAAAAATCTATGAAGAGACTTCAAGCAGAAGTCGAGAGACTGAATAAAGACTTGTTGAACAGCGTCACAGACTTGACTAAGACTAAAGAGAGCAATAAGAACGAGATAGAAAAACTCAAAACAGAAGTCAAAGAACTTAGGCAGGAGCTATCTGATGTATCACTCAGTGGTTACGAAGGAATCGAATGCGGAAGAACTATGAGAGGGATTTACGATGTGTGCAAGACAAACGAATATCATTGGACATCCAGCGATAGCGCGCTAGAAGACGCTGAAGTACAACGACTTAATGGAGAATTACCGGACTCTTGCAACGAACCCTGCCCAGCAAACGCTATAGTTGATAGACTTAAATGCGAAATACAGAACAAAGAACAGCAATTCAATAATGAGAGAAGAAAATGGTCGGACGAAAAGGATAAAGTTCTACGATACCAGAAACAATTGCAAATGAACTACGTACAAATGTTCAAACGATCGCGTACACTTGAAGCTGAGATAGACGGACTCAGATTAGAACTGGAATTATGCAACAAGAACATGAAAAATCTAAACCAACACAAAACCATAGAACTATAAATACCAAATTCATATAGATTATAATATTTATTTAGTTAACTATAGCTTTTGTACATAACTGTGCTCTCTTGCCGGTGTGAATGGTTGTCAGTTATTAACTATTATAAGTCTAAAAATTATTGTAAAGAAATATATTAATAACTCTATATTAATACTCAGCTGACAATTTATTTAATCACTATAAATTATTGTACATTCATAGAGTAATGTTACGAGTAACTTTATTATTAAGAACATTTGCTATTTTTTAATATAAGGAGTTATTGTAATAAAATTAAAAATGTTTCAATTTGTATTATTTATTCAACATCAAACACGTGCGATTATATAATTAATGAGATCAAAACGTACTAAGTGAAAATATTAATAATAGATTGAGTTTTGAGTTAAAATTTTTGCTTTAAGTTCGAGAGACCTAAATTCCTTGATCGGAATGTGAATCCATCGTTGATTTTCGTGTTCGGTTCTGTGTTATTTCTTACAGATTTAGCTGGTTCAACCTGAAATTATAAATTGATATATTATAATTTATATGTATATTAATTACGGTTTAACTCAATCAAAACTGATTAATACCCCTGACTTTGCTAGTTAGATTAAGATTTCATTTACAGAGTTGATAGGGAAATCAAATATCTATACTTTTGTACCCAAAAAAAGATACTTTAGTGAAATCTTCATAGTAATAATTTTCGTTAATTTTTTTCCATACAAATTAAAGGAAATTGAGATTTATAAATTATTTATGTTTAACTAAATTGTCCTATATACATTGTTTGTCTATGAAAATGTGCTACATCAAAGATCAGAAAACATATGCAATATCTACAAACCTATTTACAAGCAATAATTTCAATCATTTTTTAAAAAGAAACAAATGTAAGAATATATCAATAATTTTAAAATAAATCAATATACCTGTTTAACATCACTAATAGTAGGGCGTCGTCTCCATTTGTACCACCAATACTCTACTCCTAAAGTAACACAAGCCAGTCCAATACCCATAAATATAACAATAAAAACTCCACCAATATTCTGTATAGAGATCCCGTCAGACTGATCGTCCTGTTTCTCACATTTGATCGCATTAGGATTATTATTCCACCAATCTTCTTTCAATTTCTCCAACTTTCTCTTATTAAGAAGCTGGAGTATTCTGTATAAAGATATTTTACTTATAGTATATATCGGCGCTATCAACTTTAATAACGGATGCGACATGAAAATAATTTAAGGCTGTCATCAATTCTTATTAAAACTCATTAGTATTCATCATTATTGTTAAAAGTAAAACGAAATCAAAGATTCTTTAAAAGGAGAATAGAACTATGTTTAAATTTTGGTATAAATATGACGTCTGGACGCACGACGGCAGAGTTCAGTAAGTGAAGACCATTGAATGATGTGATTATGAAGAACCTTCGAGAAATACAGGAACATTAAGAACAATTGAAGTTTCATTTTAAAATATCATCGAACGTACTAGAAGAAGTAACATAAGTGTCGTCAGTGAGGCTGGCGTCTCTCTCTTTAAAAACAACGAATGTGTTATAAATCCGATATATATATTATTTATTTATAATTTCAAACATTATACTTTAATATTGACTACAGTAATGAATTAGAACACTGAATTTTGTATATCGCAATTTAATCTTACCTTTCAATTAGTAATAGCATTGGACACAATCAGCCAAATTGCTATTTTTATTTATAAGGAGTTTTATAATCAAAATAGTTATGTCAAATGGGTTTCTTTTAACTTACGCATTGTTAAACTGATCTTTCAGTGGCGACCCCTGTTGGACGGCTATGGCATATGGTTTCCTAGAGAATTCATCACCAACCATTTGCAGATCACAACTCGTAAGAACATGATATCTTATATCAGTCGCGTCTCCCAACCACGCGAAGCCTTCACTTGAACTCTTTGAAGCTCTAACTCTATCCACTGCTTCTTCTATAGAGTTTGGCAGACCAGCCTCCTTCATAGCTTGCCACATTTTACTATATTTATCGCTCACAGGATAATCCCAAACAGCTAATTTAGCTCGTTCCACGTCACTCAGACTATCATTCAGACTCATTTCTTTCCATATCCTGATAAACAATAGGTATATTATTATTAAAATACCAGTCATATTTATAGTTGTAACCTTTCAACAAAAGGATTCTGTTTGAGCTAAATGCGGTTGACCTTCTCACTTCTATATTAAGGAAAATACTAATAGAATTATTATTATTAGTAATTTGTATTTGAAGGTACTAAAGCTTAAATTCTTAATGTTAATACTTATTTTAAACATAACATGTATTTATATTTATAAACAACAAATGGGACACCAAAATCTCTTATCACTAGTTCTTTGACTGATAAAATGATAATAATATTTGATGATCATGTTCACACGGAATACATTTAAGATATAAGCGAGAAAAAGATTAAGAATATAAAAGTCTTTGTTTTTATATTATTTCGTATGTTTTATAATACTCACTCATAGAAACGAACTTCTATGTTGGCCATTCTTTCAAAATATGTCATAGCAGCAGAACCATTTAACGGTGCGTACTGTATTTTATATTGTTTTGATAAATCATCCAAGGATTCAATTGGAGTATCTAAACGGGATACCGTCAAAAATGCTGCCAAATTCGCCGTGTAAGACGCGATGATTATGAATCTATATAAAATTAAATATAATATTTATAAATAACATTTTTATAATATGCAATATCAGTGGAAACATTTTTAATAACAGACAAAAGTGTTTATTCTAGTGAGTCGTGACGAATCTAAAATAAATAAAGATTATATTTTGATACTGTTACTATGTTCAACATAGTAATCGAATATCAGACGATGCAATTTTGTAATAGTTTTATTAAAAATTACCCGAAAAGCCACCAAGTCGCAGCTAGTAGTCGACCAGAGAGATTTTTTGGAGCCTCCCCTCCACCTTGGGGTGTTAGTGACGTCATACAAAACCATAGACACTCTTTAAGAGTGAATTCCCTTTTTTCTTCATCATCCTTATACTTTTCCCTATTATTCTGGTAACTGTACGGACTCCATTTGTCAAATACCCACATGAGAAAACTAAAAATATATAATATTTATTAAATATGTAAAGAAATAAAAGAATTAATTGTCACTTCATTTGATACACAAATGTAAGATCTAGTATAAATATAATTTGAACTATTTCGAAGGTTATTTTCTTATAAAATACAAAACCGCTATACGTGTAAGAATATTTTATTTAATTAAGTGTCGAATAATTTACTTCTATTTAAAATTTTCCGGGTTGATACAAAAAAAAACGATTGAAAGAATAAACCTTATTATTGATACATAAAGTTGTATTTTTTTTTACAAAATAAAATTTTAAAAATTGGCGTGAGGCCATATAGTATGCCGTTACCTACCGTGAAATTGTGAAGAGATTAAAATTTATTTTAAATAAAATGAGCCCCAAATAAACAATTACTAGGCCAGAGAAAAAACTCTTTATTTTCTTTTTAATCGTTTTAATAACTTTATTGGTTTTATATAGTTTTATATGCTTTTTATTATAACGCAAAATATCAAAGACCAAAAAGTTATATAACAATTGTTATAGTTTAAAATTCTCACGAGCTATTTTCTGGTTTAGGGACATAAATCAAATTTCATTCAAAAGAAACGTGTGAACATTTGTATATAAATTGAAGTAAATTGATATTGTAATTTGTACTGTATGTAGAAAAAGTACTATTATATGTACTCGTCTTTTATCATGATTTTAACTGTCTCTCGATAAAACTCACAATCTTATGAAGTAAATAGTAGTCTATTCTAACGCATTCACACATAAAAATACTTGAGTGAAAATGTAATATTTGTGAGTCAAGACCAAATTTTGACTTAGAGAATTATATATTTGTGACATTTTTTTATAATACGGGTATTACAAAGATCTTTTAGTTTTTGAGAATACGATGCGGACCAATATGGAATTAAACCCAGGGCCTAGAGGGTAACAGCCCTGCTCCAGGGGTGTGCCCTCGGTGAAATAGATGCGACTGACTATGGAATGAAAAACAATGGGATCCAGAATAACTACCATAACAAAAACTCTTAAAATTGTGACTAACTTCTGCTCAGGCCTACAAGCAACTTGTGGTTAATGAACGGTAAACTGTTTAGCCACCTGAGCTTCTGATCTACGTATTTTCTGGCCGTGACTGAGCTATAATTATGGGTTTATAAAAGGTGACAGCAATATCGGCTGTATTCATTGCAACTGTTAAGATAACCATACTTCAGATAGACACGCAGATATAAAAATAGCTAGGTCGAAAACATGTCCTCACACCACCGACCAGACAATTCACTTGAATGGAATAGGGTAGGGTAAAACAATTTTGTCAAATATTAACAAATGATGGAGTTAAGTTTAACTCGTCAGCAATCTTGAGTTCACTGCTTCCAATAATAACGTTGTAACACAAGATTGCTGACGAGCTTAAGAGATAAAAATTCATCCTAGTAGTCTTGAACGGGCAAGTCTCTCGTCTCTAATCTCAAGTCTCTGAACCGTCAAGATTTTTTGATAACCATAACTGACGAGACACATGCCTTCAACGTTATTCCTTTTAGTAGCAGAGTTCGTCCACGGTTAACAACTGATTTTATATACTTTAAACTCCAAAGATCAGGATGTCAGCTCAAAAAAGAAGAGATCTTTTAACCAAGACACCAAATTCTTCAGAAGGGCATTAAAGAAGACTGGTCTTTATCACACTAAACATTAGGGCTCAAAACTCATTGCCCAATTTCTGGCAGAAAAACTTTCTGGTCATAGCATAAAACAATAATTAATTAATAGCCCTTATAAGACAACGTGGTGGCCTAGTGGTTACAGGGCCCGCCTCTCGTTGCCGAGGGCGCGGGTTCGATCCTGGCAAGTACTAATGTGATTTTTCCGAGTCATATATACTTTCTAAGATTATTTAGACACCATTGACAGACGGCGAAGGGAAATATCGTGAGGAAACCTGGACTTATAATTTCACAATTAGAATTTTGAAATCCACCAACCCGTCTTGAGCAAACGTGGTGATTAATGCTCAAACCTTCTCAATGAGAGAAAGAGGCCTTTGCTCAGCAGTAAGCTCTCATAGGCGAAAAAAAAGAGACAATAATCTTCTAAGTTAGCGACAATGCGTCTTTTGCCAAACTTCTTACCACGACATCTACCGGTTAATTAGTCGGTTTAGCTAACGGCTTAAATTCAACGAAAATTTTGCGTTAACCCACAATTATAGTACTAATCGAGGAGGAGGAGATATTTGACTTTTCCAACTATAGAAGAAAGTTTTGGGATTATAAATTATTTCTATTGTAATTAACTCTCAAATGTTAACGAACAGATATTATAACAGAATTCTGCATTAGCAGTTTAGGCCATTAGGCGCTCCTAACGTCAACTAGCTACCTGTAAAGAAATCGTCATCGTCTCAATTCATATTGTTAGTAAAAATGGACCGCAACCATATGAGGTTCAATTAAAACCTTTAAAGATACCATAGGTTTAAAACAAATATTTTTATCCAGTTTCATTCAAGAAATACTTGGTATCATTGGTTTTGAACTTTTGCAATAATAATAACGATGATAAAAACAAGATATAAAATAACAAATTTGATGTTTCCAAAAGGATTTATAGAGTGTTATTATTAAATATAAAACTTGTTATACTTGATAATAACGGAATGACCTCAGATAAAACAAAAAAGGAATAATAAATTCAGGCATTGTCCTATTGATCGTGTGTAGAATGTCACGGGCGACGGATACTCCCTTACGACAAACAAAATGGGAATCTATATTATTAAAATGTTTTACATCCGAAAATCATTCAATAATATTAAAATAAATTGCGTGTAAACCATAGAAATGTATAATCACCATTTGTTTTATGGTTTTATGTTTATCCTACTTTCCGCCCGCAGCTTCGCCCGCGTTTAATTCGGTTATATCGCGTTGCCAAGAGAACCTTTCAAAAGTCTGGGATAAAAACTATCCTTTGTTCTTTCTCGAGGTCAACTCTATATCTGTACCAAATTTCATTAAAATCAGTTCAGTGGTTTAGGCGTGAAAGCGTAACAGACAGACAGACAGAATTACTTTCGTATTTATAATATTAGTAGGGACAAAGCTTAGCATTAAAAATGTACTTCGGCCTTATATTGAAACGTTTATTTATGTTTACTATATCAGAAATAAATTCACATTTACTTCCAAAAATACGTATTTTTTTTGTAATAAATATTCCAAATTGTTTATTAACTTCAAATTATATTCATTGTAATTCTTGTTTACATCTTTTATCTTGTTTCGATGGATATCAAGAGCCAAATTCCACAATGGGTTTGTACATTATCTTATTCAAGATCAATTTCTTCAGTAACGACAACTGTTGAGTGAAAGTATTTATAATGTAATATAGGTCTACATAAATTGGCTACGGTCCAACATACTAAATATATTCCACATATCCAGATATACGGGAAGCTTTCATACAAATTCACTAAAACATTGCAAGACGATATAATAACAGTTCAAATTCAAATGATTTAACTTTCAACGTATCAAAATCATTCCTTAATAATAAAGCATTGAAATAAAACTGATTATTGTTAATCTCTGGCTTAAAGTATTTACAATATATACATAATTTAATTCCAAATTACTTTTATAATGCAGTCTAAAAATATTAATGATAATTTAGTGAATTAAAGCCGCATTATTTCTGATAACAAAACTTCCGACAAATGTAATGTTGTAATTATAATTTAATACCAGAAACATATTTTTTCATATAAACACACAATTATAATTTTATGTGTTTCCAGTGTAATTATATATTACCAAAACATATGTTTTGTTCTTTTTTTCCAGTGAATAATGCATATGAATTCGAGGAAATTGAGAATTTATAGTTACGAAACTCAAAATCAGATTTAATTATTTATTACAGTATTAGCTTTGTATTAATTAAGATTACATAATTATTTAATGATATCTAAGATTTTTTTCGAGTCTAATTCATTTAAATTAAACTAATATTTATCGGATATACTACGCGATTTTTTTTTGTAAAAAACTACATACTCCCGACGTTTCGGCTACTTTTCAGCAACCGTGATCACGGGCTGACGAAATAATTATATATTTTTTTATTTCTTATAAATAAATTGAAGAGTAAAACTAAATTATTGGGAAGTAAACTCAAATGTAAAAGATGCTATAATATTATCAATCATAACTTTATCTTCTCACAAATAAGGTTTTATATTACATTGTAGATACATTATGTATTATCTGTAGAGCTAATATCGTGTGATGGACAACCACTATCAGCTAGCCTTAACAAAACGAGTTTAAGAACTATTTGCTTTTGACTTTTAATATTTTACTCAAGAAAGGAGGTTATCAGTTCGACGTAGCCATATTTTCATATTTAAATATTATTAAATATTCAAATATCTACGCAATTCAAAGAGCTTTTAAAATCACAACGACTTATGTATGGAAATATTGCAAGTTTTATCAACAATTTAATTCATTTCATTCCTAATTAAGGTTAATCCCAAATTTTTACAAAAAGCAATTTAGATTTAATAATACAAAAGAATTTGGTTAAAATAATAAACTGTTATTAACAATTCGGAGTTTCAAAAATATATTTTTTATTTTTTTACGATACTTAAAGGATCTAATTTGTTATTTTAACATTGTAGTTGCCTACTTCCTACTTATAACCTAATAGTAAGACGTGTATAGTTAATTAATACTAGATAACGTGTCCTTCCTTATAAACCATTGAATAATAATAAGGTTATCAACAAACTCAACTTGTTGCTAACTGAACAATGTAGGAAATGTTCTTCTTAAAAGATAAGCGTGTAATGTATAAAACAAATAGTGTTGCCAGCATGAATTATGGCTTACCTCGTAAAAAAGTATGCAGCCAAAATAGACAACCAAACATCGTTTTCTAAAACTGTCAAGAATTTGAACAGTGACGTAGGTGTTCTTGGCAATTTCATTAAAATTGTTATTCCCACCAAATCGTAATAAGGTACGGTAAAATCGACCACGTTCTCCCTTTCCGCCATTACAGATAATGACGTCAATCCGATATCTGCCCTTTTTTCCATCAATTCCTTAATAATTCCGTTCCAGTTACCATTCTCGTCCATTACACCGAAGCTTCCATCCGGTGCTAGCGTTATTTCATAATCAAATTTAACAATCTGTCGTATTTCCTCAATAAGATCAATGCAATAACCTCTAAAACCTTTCGGCGCATCTTCGTCTCTAATAATGAAAGGTTGTTGCTACGAAGTTTATAATATATAAATGTAATATATTAAACAATGATACATTTTATGACAGAACGTCATCCAATTGTTTACACAACTGTATATAAACAAGTTATCAAAAGAATTCAAACATTGTGAAGTTCGTTCACCTACCTCGACGGTGACTATTCTGTATACCAGTTGAGCGGAATAATCGCTCATATTATCAGGATCAGTTAGTAAAAGGGGACTGGATAAACCAGCCTTCCATGAGCCCAGAGTCTTACTGCCTATAGATGCCCCATCTTTAATGGTGACGGCCGTTAAATCAGTGGAAAATTCCATATAACTCCTTCCGTTCATTGGATCGTCCTCGGGAATATAAAACGAAGCATACGTCGGTGTTTCCTTCACCTAAAATTATAACCTACATGACGAAATCGCTCCAAAATTAAACCATGATGCAGTACACAACAATACGGAATATAACTTTAAATATATTAATTTTAAAGTTGCATTTCACGTGCAACATAATATCCTGATACCTCTTGAAAAGCAGTTTTGAGATCTAAACTCCTATTAGGTGTATTTTTGCCATCGTAATCATCACAAGTAATAAAATTCATATCATTTTGCCATTTGCCAGAGTCCAGCAATGACCTGGAAAATCATAAGCTGTATATTCTCGCGGAATAAACCAAGCTATAATTAGATGTTCTACGTTACACGTGTGCACTGAAACGGGAATAAGCATTACATATAAAATACGTTTAGCAAAGGTCGTTACTTTATAGATAAAAAAGTTCTCAATGACAGGTCGAAATAAAACGCGGAAGTGATTTCAGGTTCCCCGTTCATGCTGTACGTCGTTTTAATTTTTCCTAATCGATCTCGACTGTTGGCATCCGGTGTTGGTTTTATGTGAACTATTGTCGCGTCTTTACAGCCGCAGCTTATTTCCCCTTTATCTAGAGATAAAGCAAACCAGGCCGTCTTTCGGCCAAAGTACTGGTTTTCATTTGCGGCATCTAATACATTTTTTATAGTCCTTAAACTGCCGACGATAAAAAAGTTCACTATGTCCAGCTCTCGTAAGCTTCTTAGCTGAGTTTTTATGTCATCCTTGCTAAAACTCTTAACGGGAGTAATAACATGACGTGTCGGAATATTCTGCAGAAGCGATTTATATTTGTGATCCATAACTAAAAAGGATTAAATTTTTTATAAATATGTTAACTATAAAGAAAGTAATATCTACGTAGATACTTATTAATTCCTCCCGAACTGTTTTTTCTATTATACATAATTTACTAACCGAAATATTCATCAAAAATTATAGCGGCGTTTGTAATATCTTGTTTCATAACGATCGCCCTTACGGCCTCTGGCAGGATGTCTGCTGGAGGCATGACTTGTAATAGATATTTAGTTTGATTATCAACAAGGGCACGCCATTGTCGTAAGTCACCCGTTTGACCAAAGGAACCAGAAATAGTTGGCAGAGCCAATGCAGCTGTAAATGACTTTATAGTTTCCGAACCGACGCCAGTCATCGTGAAATCCAAGACGACATGAGGCGTTTTCTTCGCAGAAATCATATCATTGTATTTTCTGCAAACTAATCATAATACAATCTAAACAATGTGACATAAAACACGTTTAAATCAATTACAATTATATTATAAGCATATATTTTTGTAAGATTTACACGGAAAAATATTTTTTATACTATCCGAGGTATATCTATTTGCTATTTTCAAATACATACCGTTCTCAAGAAAAACTTTAGCATCACTACGATTTCCAACAACGATCACCGGATTAACCGCTAGACCTAAAGCAGGATTCCGCCTTACATACTCTTTGGCTACTTCAAAAGATCTTTCAGCCAGTGCGTTATTTTCTTCGTTTATTAACACTTAAAAAAAGAATCAGTCAAATGAACTGAATTTTTCTTATATCCCATACAATAAGTTACTTACAAACATTAATATTCTGTGTCGTTTGTGAATATATTGTTCTGAAGAAATATATAAGAAGAATATTGAATAAGATCATCCTGTCGGCTTTTACCGCGAGGTATGATAGTAATATATGATTGTATTGTGTACCAAGTAGTCACCACGGCGACGTCCGGCCTTGATTCGCCCCTAGTAATTGATGTTTTCTATACTCATCACTTAAACATCAGGTTCTATGTACACGGTGTAATAATACTCATTATGTAGTGAATACTGTATGGCCAAGACTCATTAGAATTACATATTCCTTTTTGTTTTCAGTCCTATAATTAACTATGTATTGTATTATATCATGTGTTATCTGCTTTATATTGTAACTGTCTGTATTTTTTGTTTAAAATGTATAGGTAATAATATGGCGGATTATGGAGTTTGGGTTATATAAAAAACAATAACATTTATTAGACTATTTTATTGCCTGAATTTAAAAATCTTTTACAAACACTGACTCACTAAGTAGTGTTAGACTGTACATACTACGGTCTAAAACTATATGTACTTCAGAATTTATTAAGGTCCGAACGATAATTTGAAAAAAAAAGTTAGTCAAAATCTTAATATATAATTCCTCAGCTTGGAACATCGTTTCAAATATTTGTTGCAGCTTGAGAATTAGGATTCACATCCGCAGAGATATCTTACATTCGAGATTTGTATCTATCACATTAATGAGAAGCAAAAATAAATTAGACAAAAAAAAACAGCAATAAGAAAATAAAGACCCATAGAATTCAAAAATAGCACACAAAAAAAATTAGTATGTCAATATGAACTATCACCTTGTCAACTTTGAACTTTAAAATTCTTAAAATTACTGATGCACGGCGGACTTTAATCAAGGCAAGTCCACGATGCATTCCAACCCAAGTCAAAGGAATGTTTTATTGGTTAAGTAAATAATGCCTATGTAGTAAATGTGCGACATTAAATTGCTAACTTAAATTTACAACTGAATTATTTATCTAACACTTTAATTTTAATTAACCTTATATTAATAAAATCCTTGTTACTGTACTGTTGAGTGGCATCGTTCACAGAATTTATCCCCGACTGATCTTCACACTGTGAATAACTTTGGCAGTACCTAGTGGAAACGTTCCATGACCAATGATTCAATTCATAACCAATACTCAAACAGCAAACTCGGAATCCAATCTAGTGCATGGTCAGTTCACTGCGATGCACATGACATACATACATGACTGTTGACAAATTTACACTTCACAGGTACTTCAACAGGTAAGTTAAATACATTTATTTATTTGTATTATAAACCTAAACTAGTGCGGTCACAAAAGGGCCCAACTCTGTTATATAAAGCGTACAAATATGTAACAATGTATAAAAACTATAGTTTTGGCATTGTAAATGTATATAGAGGATATGTATGTGTGAGTTGAACCCTAATGAACATGAATGCATTGCAGTAAACCAAGCGTTTTGTTTGTGTATCTTTAGGCCGCCTCTTCCTCTGCGGGTGGAGCCTCTTCTACCACTTTCGACTTCTTCTCTGGTGTAGTCTTTTCAGAGTCACCGTTGTCTGTTGCTACAGATTTCCTTTTGACACCAGCTTCCTTCTTTTCTTCTGTAAGAAACAAATACATGTTTTGTTAATCTACTTTAAAGAAAATATATGCAGTAAATGATTATTTCATAAATATATACATCATACAAATGTGTGTCTATTGAGACCAGATGGTATATAAGATATGGAGGGAAATTTCTATGATACTAACCGACTGCATCACCGTTTTCAACGGCGTCATTGCTGTCTTCGTCTCCGTTTTCAGCTGGTGTTTCTTCTGGCGCGTCTCCGCTGCCATTTTCTTCCTTACCATTGCTTTCGGGCTCCGCGACCTTTTTGGCGGGAGATTTCTTCACTGGCGATTCTTTTGCCGCCTCAGTAGAGGAAACTTCCTCGGGCGCGGCGTCTCTGTAATAACAAAGTTAGATATTGAGCTAGTTGGTAAGCGGATTAGGGAAATTAGAAAAATACATCACAACGGTCAAAGTAATAATCTAATTAGATTTATGTGCATCTAATTGCAAGACCTTGTACTATTTGCAGTGCTGAACGCATACCACGTTAGTCGCAATAAAATGTTATTACTAACTAGGTTGTCAAGGTACTTGGCACCATTACGGTATATCGTAATTTACAACCAAACCAACATACGCACGCACATTTAACAAGTGGGGCGATAGAAAGGAAGTGTGCCGGAACAAAAACAAGTGGCAATTGTTGCACAAGACTACCTGAATGCATGTGGGAAAGTAACAAGGAAGCGAACTTAAACCTTAGTCTCGTGTGAATAGCAAACTCCAGTAATTTGGCTCGAGGCGAGGATTAGAAAACGTTAAAAATAACTAATGACAACACGCGGCCCTCGAAGCGATAATGTAACCAACGAGTTGCAAAACTCGCAAGTCTCAGCGAATTTGAAACAAGCGCGCGCCGATGACGCTACCGCGCCGGCACGCCGTGCACACAGCGCCATCTTGAACAAGCTATTCGCGCTCGCCGGCATGCTTTCAATTTTCCCGTTAATGTTATGCACGGAAACACCTTTATATGCATGGTTATTTGCTTATTTACTTATTAGCAATTAAAATTAATCAGTCTCAAATAACACAATAACTTTTGAAACGGTTTTATATCGTGTTTGTCAAACGAAAATTTTCCCGCGTGTTGGCGTCTAACGTCAATAGACCACAAAAACGTTTTAAAAATGTTAAACTTATCAAAACACTTCTAAAACTTATGCCGAGTTTGATTAATTCAAGAGAAATTTGGAAAATAATAAGTGAAAATACGAAATACAAAATAGGAAGCCATTTTGATCACGTTTCTAAAGCCGCCAAAACACAAAGTTATAAAATATAATTCTTATGAATTAAAAATTATATGTTCATAACTTACTTCTTTTCAATAGCTGCGTCTGCCATTTTGGTAAATTTGGGTTTATATTTGCTTGATATATTAAATAAAAAATATCCGGCACGTGCTTCGCACTACGAACAACAACGCTCACTGCACAAACACTGGAGACCAAATGAAGGAGAAAGAAGGAAAATGTGCGCGGTGTTTTGCAGGGTCACGCGTTTGAAGCGGAGCTAACTTCGCAAAATGAAATAGCTATATCCGTACCCGCATACATTAAAGCGAGACAGATATAGTTGCAAGTTCCACTTCCAGCAACCTTGAATTCCATGAAGTGTAGACAGAGACAAAATATACAACGCTCAAGCTCGTGTAAAAATATAAAATGAGATGAATCAAAAAATCCCCCCCCCCCCTCAAAAAATTATACAAAAATTACCGCCAAAAGTGAAAAAAATATATATTAACGTTTTAAGAGTGACGAATAACTTGAGTAAATTGAAAGACAGAAATAGCAAAGAAAAAATATTTTACTTGTTACCAATAAGTTATAATATGATTAAAAACAAATAATGTAAAGTGTTTGTCGATAGAAAAAAATTACAAATCGTTACAAAAGTTGTGAATTTTTGAGTGGAATGAAATTATTTTAGCAGAATGAATATTTTATAAGTAAACTCTAACCTGATTTACATGTACTCGTGTATTTTGGAAGTTCATTGCCTTGTGCGAATGTCCTCAAAATAATAAAATAAATTGTTTAATACATTGCGGTGAGAGTTGAGATGCACTTAAAATAAAGTTTTGGTGGAAAAAGAACAACACACAAGTCTTTTTTAAATTCTGTATATCGGCCAACTTTATTAAATTGATATAAAAACCTCGATTTAAACAAGAAAATAATAATACTTAAAATAATACGAACTAGCTACAAAATTATTTCGTGCAAATTAAACATTATTTTAACCGCTGGTTTATTTTCCGCCAAAGCGATTTCAGTTCACCTCTACAGCCAGAAAATATCAGATCTTTGAAACATTAAATTTCAAAACACGTTAGATAATTACACTGAATAATGACATTTAATGCAACGTAATAGAGTTCATCTTGAGCGGGTATCTCGGTAAGAATAAATTGGTAAGTGTATTGGGTCGTTGGCTTTTGAAAGAAATCTTGGCACTCGTCACTGATTTCGTCAGAATATGAATACGTTAAGAACAATCCAGCTAAAAAAATTTACATTAGTCAGGTAAGAACCTTGAATGGGAATATATAATACGTCTACTTTAAGATAGTGTATTTTTGTATAGTTTGACATAATGACTATTTGTAAAACAAGATGGCCGATTGTTTTGAAAGTTGGACCGCCATAAGTGTCGCCGAGTTTGTGTGAGCAAAATGATTTTATGATCATTTTCATACTCGCATTATTGTTATCGCTAGCTATTGTAACAATTTTTAATTATTTGTTGCGAACTCTTTCCTAGGATAATCACCTATAGTGTGATGTGAATAAAGATTATTTTACCGTACACAGACTTAGTCAAACTTGGCCGTTATTATTCTGCTGAAGTTAAGTAGGATTTTGTTTAATTTACCTGCTTTAGTTTGATAAATCTTAAAATTGGATAGTTAACAATAATGAGATTGAATATTTGGAGCGGAAATGCGGTGATAGATTTTTTTTACTTTAATACAAAATAGTTATGACTTATGAAGTAGGCATAGGTTTTTCTTACTCATAATTATCGAGTTAACCAGAAAATAATGAAGTGCCGTTGCAATATTTTACATAAGTTTATTACATATTATTACAGTGTTTATATAATATGACGCTATATATAATTTTATTACTTTCAACGTAATTATTCATATAGAAATCAGTTAGGTTATGTAAATTGTGTTCAGCGAATAGAATACGCGGCTACAGCAACATAGAATTAAATAATCAACTAGACTTTATAATTGTTTGATAAAAAACATTAAAGCTGGTAATAATAAAAATATACAATATTTTCTTTGACTATCATAACTTTAATACTTATAAAGGAGAGTGCTGACAATTGTGTATATGATATTCTTTTGTAAGCGGAAATTTCCGTCTTTTCATAAATTTTCTGTCCCTACCTCATGCTGTTTTCAAAGCAGCGTCTAAATAAGAATCTTACATTACAATGCAAAAAGTTTTAATATAACATCATCTTTAATTTTTACAAGTTCTTGTATTATTTTAAAAGTACACGAATACCTATGTTGCTATGCTGTGGGTTCGTGTGTTTAAGTGTTATTGGTTTATAGTCTTTATTGTATAGAACATAAGGTTGGTACGCTTGCTTGTTCTGTCCTTTACAACGGAAGATATTGGCGGTCATCGGTCTGTGTAGTGAGGGAGACAGAGCTATACGAATTGTATATTTTCGTCTCTTTCGTTGCGTATATGGCAGTTAGTTTTCATGGTAGCTTGCACCCTAGTTGGTTGGGTCTTAATTCTTATGGGCTTAGAATTAACTTTGTATTAAAAACTTATAAATTTTAAAATCATCTGTAGACTAAAATTTGTAACATATTTTACTAGAATGACATGTTGCCTTGGTGTTGAACGAAACAAGGGAAAATTAGTTATTCATATTTAGATAATAGATTCAAATTGTTTTGGATTTTTCGTCAATAACAGAAATGCATTACATTATCGGACACTAAGGATTTGAATGTGGATTCACTAAGATATAAAAAAAAGGAAAAAAATCTCTATAGTCACATCACCTACGTCTAATAAATTTTAAAATCTCCAAAATAATAAATTCCACTTTTTGTTTTCAAATAATCCTTGGACACCTTCTCTTTTTAACGTAAGTGTCTCACAAATCAGACTAAAATTTGCTTTTAAACAAGGACTGGCAATTATGACAAAATATAAAAATAAAAAAAATACAAGGTATTCAAGACAACTATTTAAAACGAAGGAATTCTTATATTCGCAATAGTAATAAATAAGTAAACTTAAACACAAAACAGTATGATAATTTCCATTGGTGATATCTACACAATATAATTTTCGACCATAGCAATATAATATTTTTGTTAAGAACAATCGATTCGCTTAGAATGTTTTAATAAATTCATATTTGACCTTAAATGTATTTCCATAATACGGGATGTTCAAGTTTGTCTTTTTTTTACAAATATCTCTGGGTTTTTCCTCAATTATTTTCTACTGATAACAGCGCCATCTGTTTCTGAGATGAAATGGTTTTAGTATTTGGTGTTGCCATACGTACATTTTAGAAGCCCTATGGTAGAATGTTTTAGATTGCATAAATGATCATTTAATGTCACGTCTAAAATAACATAGTCTTATGTTATTGTATGTTATTTTCTTTTATTATTGGAAACGTTTCTTAAGTAATTAATTATTATTTATCTAGTCAAGAAACATATTAACTATTCTTCATTATTATTATTACAAAATTATTATTAAGATGCAATAATCAATATTCAATAAAATCACATTTTGACAAAATAAAAAGATAACCCATTTAGATATTGTAAATAGCCCCAAGGTTGATATCTTCATTTATTCTGTAATATAAATATTTTTTGACATTATTTGTTAATAGACCAAGATATAGGAATTTTAGTTAGGTTTGCTAAAAATAATACGCCTTGATATGAAATCTTTTTTAATTTCATATACTTAGAAAATATTTACTTAAAACGGAAGCCATTAGATCTCTATTATGAAAATGATCAGATATCTAGAATTTAATTATTTTTTTTAATTTTGTTACTGATTGTATAGATATACATCCATTGGTACAATACCTACAAATTAAACTTTTAACCTCTCAAAAAATAATAACTGACAGTTTTGTTTTGACATTCATACTTCATACTCCATTTTGGGTTGGTTGTTTTTAATCACCTTTACGCGTGCAAAGACGTGTAATACTCTATTTTTATTGAATTACTTTAATTTATTTGGTTTCTGACATTGAACACGAGGATTTAAGGAAGTGAGAGCATTCCTTTAACAAATGGTCATTGCCATGTTTAAATTACCATTAAGATACTATGTATAACATTTATATACCTGTTGGCTTTAAGCAAGCGCAAGCAGAAAAAAATTAATACCTACTAGGTATATTTAATTGTATTGAAATTATTATTTCCACTATTATTCTACTTATTAATACCAGTGATCACAATGATAGTATATATTTAGAGATGTTGTCACTAAATAAGTTTTTTTTACGTCCTAGAGTAAACAGTAATTCCTTAACATTATATCTTTATATAAACTTTAATAATAAAAGTAATGGTGTAGCTATTAACGTCCTATTAATATTAGTAGTTAATTGTATGATTCAAAAACATATTTGTTAAATTTTTACAATTTGGTAGTTTTTAAGAGGATAGGTTTCACATATTAATGTGGAAGGGCAACACTGTCGTAATTGACCGCCACCCGTGAGCAAATCGTTCGCTCGTTCTCGCTCTGTCGATCGAGTTCAGTGGAAGCCATTTTATTCTTGTGAATGTGACAAAATATTCTTTGATATATCTCGAATTCGGACTAATAGTGTCAATGTGTGCCCACAAGTGTTATTTGTGACGTGACAAGTATTTTGAAAGTTAGAATGTACGTGTTTAAAATCGGTTTGTGTTGACCTGCCGTTTTTTTACGCGGACGTTTAAGGCAGGCATCGATTAGTGCAAAAGGCAGTCCTTATAACGGCGACTAGAGTCAGTGGAATAGTCTAGTGGGGTGCGCCATGGGCAACAATGCTGCCACCGCCAACAAAAAGGTGGATGCCGCCGAGAGCGTCAAGGAATTTCTTGACCAGGCGAAAGAAGACTTCGAGGAGAAATGGAAGAAGAATCCTACCAACACCGCCGGATTGAATGACTTTGAGCGAATAAAAACACTCGGTACGGGATCATTCGGCCGAGTTATGATAGTGCAACATAAACCAACAAAAGAATATTATGCTATGAAAATATTAGATAAGCAGAAAGTAGTGAAATTGAAGCAAGTGGAGCATACGCTCAACGAGAAACGTATCTTACAGGCAATTAATTTTCCATTCCTTGTGAGTCTTAAATTTCATTTTAAAGATAACTCGAACCTGTACATGGTATTGGAGTATGTCCCTGGTGGGGAAATGTTCTCTCATCTGCGGAAGGTTGGAAGATTTTCTGAACCCCATTCACGGTTCTACGCAGCCCAGATAGTCCTAGCCTTCGAGTACCTTCACTACCTAGATCTTATTTACAGAGATCTTAAACCCGAAAATCTATTGATAGACTCGCAAGGCTATCTCAAAGTGACAGATTTTGGTTTCGCGAAACGCGTTAAAGGCCGTACGTGGACACTTTGCGGCACACCAGAGTATCTCGCGCCCGAGATTATTCTGTCTAAAGGATATAACAAAGCTGTAGATTGGTGGGCGCTGGGCGTTCTCGTCTACGAAATGGCTGCGGGCTATCCGCCGTTCTTCGCCGATCAACCTATACAAATTTACGAAAAAATTGTATCAGGCAAGGTCCGTTTCCCTTCACACTTTGGATCTGACCTGAAAGATCTCCTGCGCAATCTCCTGCAAGTAGACTTGACTAAGCGTTACGGCAATCTCAAAGCGGGTGTGAATGACATTAAGGGACACAAGTGGTTCGCCAGCACCGATTGGATTGCGGTTTTCCAAAAGAAAATCGAAGCGCCCTTCATCCCGCGCTGCAAAGGCCCAGGTGATACTAGCAACTTTGATGATTACGAGGAGGAGGCATTGCGTATCTCATCTACGGAGAAGTGTGCGAAGGAGTTTGCGGAGTTCTGAGCTCTCGGTCGGCACCTGCGTGCGGTTCAACCCGTGAGTAGGATATATTGTATTAGTGAATCTTCCGTGGCATTGTTCATGGGAAGCCGTGCATCTTTTGAGCAGCTTTGGGTGTACAGAGACATTAGATCCCCGGTTGCCTGAGGTGTATCAACTTGGAGTGTAGGTGAAATGTTTGTAGAATTGGTTCTGATATTTTTGTGGCATTCATTTGCTTAGTGCCCTTTCAATTTTAACATATAAAGATCCAGGGGTCGTAGCTCCAATTCTAGTGATATTCAGAGCGTACTACTGTATAGTATAGAAGTCACCTGTATACTAAGTGTTTTTTATTTTATACTTTGTAGTTTGCCTTTGATAGCATTGGGATGTGGTGAGCTTTAGACATTATTATTTAATCAAAACAATGATCGGTCAGTTTTTTCTTGATGCTTATTTAGATTTGTAGTTCTTCACATATATTCTCGTCACTATAAATATTAAATGCGTCACATATAAGTTGCTAACTGATTTTAAGAAGTATAGTATAATATGGTACTTTAAATTGTTAGAAATGCCGCCATCACATAAATAGTAATGAGTACCAAATGAATATAATATATCTCCTCACTCTACTTCTGTCTTGCAGTTGTTTAAAGAAAATAATAATATTTACAATTGATAAGGCAAATCTAGTTATTTAAATGTCACATCTAGGTATTATTAACTCTGCAGTGTTATATTGTGAAAGTTTTATGTTTGACGTTTTGTTATTGGTTTTTATTTAAAATATAAATATTGTTAAATCAGTTGATATTTTAATTAAGGAAGTAACTAACAGCAACAGATAATGGAAGAGATTAATTTATTATATTATAAATGTAGTTATTATTTGTGCAATTTCAACCTGTGTTTGTGATCTGAGGCGATGTTTTGTTTGAGATTTATGTGTAAGTGTATAGTTCCTTATTTGGTAGTTTTATGTGTTTAATATATTTGTAATGGCAGTGTTTAAACAAAACAAATGCACTGGAGTCCGGATATCGCCATGGCATGCTTTTACTATTGATGGCATCAGTAGGCATCTATAAATAAAGAGACAGTTGAGTTTCATACATTAATCTAAACAGGATTGTCAACATATGTATATGTATATGTAAGAAAAACTCGAAATTGTATGTTAAACAGTGAAAACTAGTACATATATGTATAACATTACATTCTTCAATCACTGATGTAGTTGATATGTAAACAGTTTTAATCATGGTTGATAAATGGAATTCAGATGTTGGGGTAGCATTGGTCACTCGGCAGTTTATCAATAAAATTTTGTTAGCTTAGATGTAGGACTTTGAATTTGGGCTGTACAAATTATTGAACTTAGTTATTTGTAGAGAGTTTTTACATTGTGCGCATATGTGGTTATAGTCATTAGATTTAATATCACAGGACCCTCTGTTTAGTCGGTTCTGCACTAACATTAAAAAAACTTCATTAAAATTGCACTATTTAAAAAAATTGTTTTGTTTGATATAAATCCATTATAGATTTATTGGATAATGCTAAATCATATCAAGCTGTAATCGTAAAGAGTAATAATTCTAAATTATGTATTAATAGTGTCTGTCAACTTAGTATTAGTCTTAATAATGCTTTTCTTCAAACTAAATGACATTCTCTGCATTGTAGACATAAATTTGATGTGTGTAATATTTTCTTTATTGTAATTGAAAACAATGTCTTGTGGTGATGCTGATGTAGAATAGAATATTGTTTTTATATCCATTGTTTTGTTTTACTACAGTAAATATACAAGGCTTTCTGTTTGGTGCCATATTGATTTGAGAGCCTCGAGCATGTTAAATGTACCTTGTCATACATTATCGGAATTTTTGTTACAGTATTAAGAAATCAAAACACTTGTTTGTCGTAGGACTCGAATTAGTTTTAAGATAATAAATTCACAATGACATTTGAGATGTTTAATATATGTATGTACAGTCTATAGTTTGTAAAACTGAAACAAGAAGTTATCAATGTCGTGTTACTGAAATTTTTCAATTATGCTTTGAATTTCTCAAGGTGCTGTAAGGCAGGCACACTTATTACTTTGACACCATAGTTTATACTAAGTTTAATTATCCATTGTCCGCACCTAGCTTAATGTCACAGGTACACCATTGGGACATTGTTTGTCAAGTTCATCTTTTATAAGATCATGTTGAATTTACGCCTTTATTGTTCCATTTGAGTGGCAAATGATTATATATTAAAAAAATATTAAGATGTATATCTTTCATATAACATTGTATATAACTAGAGTGATTGTGTCCCTAGTAATGTTAGGAGTTTCTACATCTGCTTGTTATCCGCAGTGCTCTAATTTGAACCCAGTGGCTGTTCTAACTTGAACATTATAAGACCAATATTGACAATGTGTGACAGTATGTGTAGTTGCGGAGCTGTCTTTTTTATATCTGTTCACTTTTAGACCTATTATATCGAGTGCCTATAGCATTGAAGAGTTCAAGTGTAAAAAGTCAGTTAATTTCAGTAATTATTTGTCACCATGTATTGATCTTCCATAAGATTACGATGAAATTAAAAATATCGATGTAAAATTAAGAGTTGTTTGATTGTAGTATAGCCCTAACAGATTACAGTGTGATCCTGAAGCCGGCCGTTCGTGTGATGTACAGTATAGTGTAGTAGTGTGTTCTATTTGTGTGATGGATTTGCACATTTGGCAGGAACGCTCCTGGGGCGACGAAGATAATGTGCGGCTTCCTAATAAAGTGGAATATTCCAATGCTTACACTGCCAAACGATACATATAGTATATAATGTATATGTATGTTAATTCAATTAATATCATTCACGTTTGAGGCAATTTTAATATTTTTAATGTTATTTTGAAACTCGATATGTCGCGATGCAGATAACTGTAGTAGCTATCAAATTTCTAGTCAGTTGAGTAACTTTTTTTCATCGTGAGTAATTTAATAACGTGTTCTCATTAAACCAATAAGAGGATTGATTACTTAAACCTGAATTAATTATGTGTTAATAGTCTTTATTTTTGTACGTATGTATCAAAATGAGAGCGTTACGTAATCTTTTTACCGAAGAGCCAAATTGCGTTGGAGTTCAAATATGCTATTTATCGCAATGAACATATTTATTCGCACCCACGCTTTATTTTAGTATAATTTTATATTGTAGTCTAAACTGAATGTCTTGCTGGACATTCTTTGTTGATCTAAATCAAATATTTAAGTACTCTAGAAATATTTTATTTGTAATAAAAGAAGTTGTATTGATAAATTCATAACCCGCGAAAATCGTTTAGCGAATATGATTTTAATCATTTGAGTATCTTTTTGAATGAGCCAGTGAAGTCAAATTTAGTCCACAATTATACGAGTTGATTCAGAAACCGGATACGGTCAACATCTTTCTTCATTATAGAGTAACAGGATTAGTACAACAATAGTGAGAATAAAATCTAAATTTAGAAATACACAATAAAATCTATTGTTATTAAATTTCTAGAATGAATTCTTTAATTTTAGAATATAATGAATCGTTGAGTATGTAATGTATAAAGAAATTATTTTTTTAAACGTGCGACAGTTGAGAGCGTCCGCGTCTCCGTTGTCGTAATATAACCTTGAGCAATGAGAAAGCTAGTACGTGTGTATATGTTATGTATGTGTGTGTTATAATCACACTAATGTATTTGTCAACAGTTGATATGGCGGGAGTTATTTAGGGATGTTAGTGAAATTAATTTAATAAAACTATAATTCAGTGGAAACCATATTGTTACTAGTGTTAAAAACATTTAAAAACTTGTAATTATCATATCTTTCGCGGCAAAGATCTTGCAATGACTTATTTTTGGTGATTACTTCACGAAATTTACCAAGATTGTGTGGTGAAAACAAATGTGAGATGTCCATTCTGTGAACTAGCCTATAGTGGTAGTGGTACGCTAATTTTCACGCCAAACTTGATAATAAAACTCGAGGTCAGCAGTGTATTATTATAAAAGGAAGTCGGCTTAAACGCTAACTGGGGTATGTAGTTTATATTGAAGGTTGATATAACTATTTATTGATCATATTTGAATGGTTTGTTTAAAACATGTTTATAAAATGTTAACTTGATAAAAACAATACAAGATCGTTAAGTTTAGGACAACAAACCAAAAAGAACAGCTTTGTATGAACTGAAATATCGAAATTGAAATAGAGTCGTTTAATACGTGAAAAACAATAATCTAACTTAAAAAAATATCTTTTATATTGAATATTAACTTGTGCATATAATTAATAATAATTTTTCATATTAGAAGTCGCTCGACGAACATCGTCTGTTGATACAGATTAATGGCCTTTAAGTAATTTGGTAATATATAAAGTCAAACAATGTCACCTGTCTAATAGAATTCATACTTGAAATAAGTATTCATATTTCACAGTAGTTTTAGACAAGTATTTATTATGTAAAAACGGGTGGTTCACTGTTTACTACTAATTACTACTATTTACATTGTAGTTTTGGGCCTAAATACCACTTTAGACAGTTTAATTTTAGCAATAAGTATCATTGAAATCCGCCTATAGATAAAAAGTCCAAAGAACCAGGGTTCTCAATAAATATAAAGTAAAATTAAGAACCTTCTTTTTAATTAATCGTTTGATAAATAAAGTAGCTATGTCTAATAAGTGTTTTGACACATTTCACCGCGGGAACGCGAGTATTTTTCATCAAAAATTGAATTTACGATGTCGCCATGCAAAATGGCGTCTTTAAAGGGTTTACAAAGTACATATATTGACAGGAGTCGAAGTGTCGCTAATGTGTTGTGTTACGCAACACAAGAACGCTTTTATGAGCACTTCTTCAGTCGACATTGAATGATTTTGCAAACATTTGTCGTACATTTGAGTGATTTTATCATAATTCATTTAATTTTTATTGTTCTCAACTGATTTCACCCTTTACGAAATACTTAA